CACTTGCATTAAAAGGAGAATCTTACGTGAAATGAAAACTTGACTTGAGAATTGGTGAGGTGTGCTCAATATCCGTTATCCACAGTGTCTCATTACACGGTTTCACAGGCAAGCAAGAGTAAGAGGGGAGAAATTGAACCATTATCATTATGAAAGAGATTCTGCCCTCCTCATCCACTTATATTCCATTTTGACTAACAATCGCAGAGTAAGAACACAACAGGGGTGATTCTAAGTTATTTGAAGGCCAATCCTTGATTATCTAAACTTTATGAACCTCACCAATGGCTATAAGTTTGAGCACCTCAGGAGTAGAAATAGGATTCTGCTCGTGGATTAGATTAAATAGGATTACACTAGACTTGTTCTGTTTAATTGCTTTCTCTGGAACTTGGCTGCCATCCTGATTCTTTTGTTCTTGTCTCTGGTTCCTTAGAATTAGATGTGCTTGCTTTCTGCCTCAGGGTTCTCTGTTTGGATCACAGTCACTTTCAGCAGATAGTTTTGATAGGCGAAGGCTGAGGAAACTGGACAATTAAAATCTAATGAGATTTTTTTTGTGTGCAGTTGTTCTGGCTACATTATACATTAGGGGTGTAAGATTTCATTGAGAGCTGCATCAGGGTTGTGTTTGATCTTGGGGAGGCTGGGGTGTGTGGCCAGGATTGGCATGACCAGCTTGACGTCATTCATGTCGGGGGTGCCTGTGGCGGCTTGACCGCCCTGCCAGCCAAAACAGGTTCCCGAGTTCTGTTTTCACTGACAGAGGATTGTAGGAGTCTGTCACAATTGAAAACGGAGCTCGGGAGCCCACTTTAGCTGTCAGAGGCACTGCAGGCCGGTCCTTTGCTGTTTCCAGGGCAGCCCTGTGGGCCAGATTTAAATACCCTGTGTTTGACACCCCTGTTATACATTGATTGCACCCACTGGATGGACGGACAGATGGACAGACACACACATACACTTACTATATATATGAAAGGTTCTCTGCTTCAAGTCGGCTTCCCCTGTGTTTTAAGTAATAATGCTTCTTCTCAGCTTTTGAACTTTTCTCCTGCAGAAATCTGAATCAGCAAAAACAGATATTAGAAGTTTCTAGATCAACAATAAATTGAAACACATCAGTTTAGTTAGTCAGCATAAAAATAGAGCCAAATTCTACTGTAAAGTCATGCTAGAAGTACAGAAAGCAATTAAAGAAATGAAAAAAATTTGAGCCTGTGGGAATATCATTACAGAGTTGAGGTTGTTAATTATTAGAAATTCATTTCCGCTAGTGTTCCGTTTGGAAAAGAATTTCTGTTGGTTCCTCCAGCATCTTAATTATTCTACGGGAAAGTGCATTTAGTGACTGTTCAAAGTTACCATGGCACTGAACAAAGTGACATATAACCATTTTTCACACTTAAGACTGTTCTAGCATGCCCATGGTCCCACGATCAAAATTCAGATGCTTGGCAACTGACTCATATTTATGATAGCTGCAGTGTCCCACGGTCACCTGACGGACCCCCTTTTGTGACCTTCTGACCAGTAAAGTCAATGGGGACGACAGATTCACTCAACAACCAGGCTACTAACTTCACAACTGTAGTGATTCACTTAACAACTGAGATTTGAACAGAAAAAACGTAAAATGGGTAGAATTCACTTAACATCTGCCTTGCTTAGCAAGAGAAGTTTGGGGCTCAATTGTGATCATAAGTCAAGTACTACTTATATAGTGTTTGCAGGTGTTTTGAGTACTTAATTGACCTCCTTTATTTTGAATTTGCAATTTAAAGGCGTGATCAGAAAAATTGTGTTCTTGCATGAAGTTGTTTTTCATAGTAAACCACATAATTGTTTTAAAAGGACATAGTGAGCAGTACTAACTTAGTTGAAGTAAACGTTACAAAGAAAAAGGACTATATACCATATTTTTCGCACTATAAGACACACTTCCCCCCTCAAAAAAAAAAAAGTGGGTGGTAATGTCTGTGTCTTTTAGAACGAATATTGCAGTGAGGGAGGGGAGGATCACTGCTGCCGCCTATCACTGCTGCCGCCATTCATCGCAGCTGGGGAATGCTGGAGCCTTCGCTGTCAAGCAGCTGATTGGCAGTTGGATTGGCCTCCCAGAATACCTCCGATCAGCTGTTCTAGGTGGC